AGTTAAGGCTGGCTGGGCACGGTGGCTCACGCCTATAATCCCAGCACTTTGGGAGGCCGAGGTGGGCAGATCAGGTCAGGAGTTCGAGATCAGCCTGGACAACATACTGAAACCCCATCCCTACTAAAAATACACTAATTAGCCGGGTGTGGTGCACACGCCTGTAGTCCCAGCTACTCGAGAGGCTGAGGCAGGAGAATCACTTGAACCTGGGAGGTGGAGGTTGCAGTGAGCAGAGGCCACGCCACCGCACTCCAGCCGGGGTGACAGAGTGAGACTCTGTCTCAAAAAAAAAAAAGTCAAGGCCAACCCCGAGGTCAGGTAAATTTTCTGTTATCTACTAGGTGCTTTACAGCTTTGCATTTTACGTTTAGGTCTGTTACCTACTTGGAGTTAATTTCTGTGTCTAGATTCACTTTTTTGCATGTGAATGTCCTGTTGTTCCAACACCATTTTTTAAAAAAGATTCTCTCTCTCCTCTATTCTATTGCTTTTGCTCCTTTGTCAAAAAGCAGTTGACTGTATTTATGTGAGTCTATCTCTGGGCTCTCTATTCTGTTCCACTGATCTATTCTTTCACCAATACTATACTACCAGCTGGGCATGGTGGCTCATGCCTGTAATCCCAGCACTTTGGAGGCAGAGGCCAGGGGATCACCTGAGGTCGGGAGTTCAAGACCAGCATGACCAACATGGTGAAACCTCATCTCTACTAAAAATACAAAATTAGCTGGGCGTGCTGGCACATACCTGTAATCTCAGCTACTTGGGAGGCTGAGGCAGGAGAATCACTTGAACCCATGAGGCGGAGTTTGCAGCGAGCTGAGATTGCACCATTGCACTCCAGCCTGGGCAACAAGAATGAAACTCCGTCTCAAAAAAAAAAAAAAAAAAACCCCCAAAAAACCAAACAAAAAAACAGCCAGCCAGGGTGGCTTACGCTGTAATCCCAGTACTTTGGGAGAGCGAGGTGGGTGGATCACCTGAGGTCAGGAGTTCAAGACCAGCATGGCCAATGTGGTGAAACCCTGCCTCTACTAAAAATATGCAAAATTTAGCTGGGTATGGTGGCAGGCACCTGTAATCCCAGCTACTTGGGAGGCTGAGGTAGGAGAATTGCTTGAGCCCAGGAGACGGAGGGTGCAGTGAGCTGAGATTGTGCCACTGCACTCCAGCCTGGGCAATAGAGCAAGACTGCGTCTCAAAACAACAACAACAACAAAAATACCACCTTCATTACTGTAGCTTTACAGTAATTCTCAAAGTTGGGTAATGTCAGTCCTTCAACTCTCTATTGGATTTTTTTTTTTTTTTCCTTGAGACAGGGTCTCACTCTGTCACCCAGGCTGGAGTGCAATGGTACTTCCCAGGTCTAAGTGATCCTCCCAGCCTCCAGCCTCCCAGGTAGCTGGAACCACAGGCACATGCCAGCATGCCCGGCTAATTTTATCTTTAAATTTTTTGTAGACCAGGTACAGTGACTCATCTGTAATCCCAGCACTTTGGGAGGCCAAGGCAAGAAGATGACTTGAGCTCTGAAGTTGGAGACCAGCCTGGGCAAAAAAATTTAAAAACTAGCCAGGTGTGGTGGCATGTGCCTGTAGACTCAGCTACTTGGGAGGCTACGAGGTGGGAGGATTGCTTGAGCTAGGGATGTCAAGGCAGCAGTGAGTCGAGATCATGCCACTGCACTCCAAACCTGGGCAACAAAGGGAGACCTTGTCTCAAAAAAAAAAAAAAAAGTTGCAGACATGGGGTCTTCCTATGTTGTCCACGCTGGTCTCAATGATCTTCCAGCTTCGGTCTCCTAAGGTGCTGAGATTACAGGCATGAGTCACCACACCCAACCAGAATTGATATCTATCTTCCTACCTTGAATGTGAAATACCATTGCATTTATTTAGTTTAGTTTTTTTTTTTTTTCATTCGAGTTTTGTAGTTTTCTTCATATAGATCTTACACATATTTGGATTTATCCTGAAGTATTCCACTTCCTTTTGGTGCTAATATAAATGGAATTGCTTTTAATTTCAAATTCTACTTGTTCATTACTGGTATACAGGAGAGCAACTGATTTTTCTATTGTAACCTTATATCCTGCAACCTTACTATAATCATTTATTAATTCCAGCCAAACGGTTTCTAAAACTCTTCCAATAAAAATAAAGAAAAAACTCTTTCCAAAACTAATAACTGCCATTAACTAAAGGTATTCAAAAAGGACTGGAAATAGATGAAATTACCAAAATTCACAAAGTATTTCAAGTGATAACAGCATCCTCAGGTAAGAACTATCCTGAGAATAACACTCATTTCAAAGAACATATCTGTCCCTACCCCTTTATTGTACAAATGAGGCAATATATACTTAGTGGCTGAGTTTGGTTTGTAGTCAAACAAATCTGGGTTCAAATTAAGTTCTACAACTTACTAAGTCATAAACTTGGGCAAATTATTTACTCTAAGCCTCAGATTCTTCACCTCTAAAATGCATATTTCTCCTAAGTTTGTAAGGAGAAATAAGGAGGTAATGCTTGAGAAAATTTAACAACAATTAAAACCTGGAGGCACAGAGAGACAAGTGATATACTCAAGACAAGTTTTGAGTCTCATTATGGGTACATTACAATAAACTATAGCATATTGTAATATAAATATTTCTTTTAGATCTTATGCAACCAATTCATTTTTGAAGTAGTGTATAATTTACACAAATACTTGTAACAAATCCTTTAACAGAACACTTATTTTTATGACAATGAATTTTTCCCCTGCATTTGCTTAAATCAAGAAATACTAAAATAGCTAGTTCAACTCTCTAGCTCCCAAATTTCACAGATATAATTACTAGTAAGCACTCAAAATCTTCATTGCTGTGTTCTGGCAAGCTAGAGTTATTTCAAAGATTTCATCCTGCACCATCCTTCAGATGATGAACCTCACTCATCTGGGTTAGTTTGCTTATCTCTTTTTTTTTTGAGACAGAGTTTTGCTCGTGTTGCCCAGGCTGGAGAGCAGTGGCGCGATCGCAGCTCATAGCAACCTCCGCCTCCCGGGTTCAAGCAATTCTCCTGCCTCAGCCTCCCGAGTAGCTGGGATTACAGGCATGCACCACCACACTCGGCTAGTTTTGTATTTTTAGTACAGACGGGGTTTTTCCATGTTGGTCAAGCTGGTCTCAAACTCCCGATATCAGGTGATCCACTCACCTCGGCCTCCCAAAGTGCTGGGATTATAGGCGTGAGCCACTGCACCCAACAGTGCTTATATCTTTGTTTGGCTTTTTTTTTTTTTTTTTGAGAAAGAGTTTTGCTCTCGTCGCCCAGATTGGAGTGCAGTGATGAAATCTTGATTCACTGCAACCTCCGCCTCTCGGGTTCAAGTGATTCTCCTGCCTCAGCCTCCTGGGTAGCTGGGATTACAGGCATCCACCAACACACCCCACTAATTGTTTGTATTTTTAGTAGAGACGGCTGTCGCCCAGGCTGGAGTGCAGTGGCCGGATCTCAGCTCACTGCAAGCTCCGCCTCCTGGGTTCACGCCATTCTCCTAATTGTTTGTATTTTTAGTAGAGATGGGGTTTTGCCACCTTGGGCAGGCTGGTCTCAAATTCCTGACCTCAGATGATCTGCCCACCTCGACCTCCCAGAGTACTGGGATTACAGGCGTGAGCCACCAAGCTCAACTTGTTTATCTCTATAAAAGGAGAATCCTTTGAGCTGGAACTTAAAAAACTTAAAATCAGGCCGGGCGTGGTGGCTCACGCCTGTAATCCCAGCACTCTGGGAGGCCGAGGTGGGCGGATCACGAGGTCAGGAGTTCGAGACCAGCCTAGCCAATATGGTGAAACCTGGTCTCTACTAAAAAATACAAAAATTAGCCAGGTATGGTGGCATGTGTCTGTAGTCCCAGCTACTCAGGAGGCTGAGGCAGGAGAATTGCTGGAACCTGGGAGGTGGAGGTTGCCGTGAGCCGAGATTGCGCCACTGCACTCCAGCCTAGGTGACAGAGCAAGACTCGGTATTAAAAAAAAAAAAAAAAAATTAAAATTAAAATTAAGAAGGAGAGAAGTTGCACTAGTTTTTCCTCAAAGTAGTGCAAAGCTGTGTGGTCCCCTATCTCTTTCCACCTCCTTGACCGTAGTGCTCCCTAATACTACCTTAAAGTTGGAACTCTGACCAGTACCTGAAATACAGATTTTTTTTTTAAAGGGAATTTTATAACACAGAATGTTTTAACTTCTTGTCAGACATCCATTCTCAAATACCAATTCATAGCATGCTCCACCTAGCAAGAAGGCATGGGAGCTCTATTGACTTGTTTAATCCATTCCCAACACAGGCAATATGAAACAGAAGGATAGGTATGGTAAAAATTTTGGACTTCAATAGATAACTTATGCTGACTCATATACTCCTAAAATCAAACCAGAAACATTAAATGCTGAAATAAAACCAACCACAGGTAGTCGGATTCATAGATAGAAAAAAAAAAATTACACAATTTCTACTAGAAGTGAATTTTTAAACTAGTAAAAGAGACAAAATGGGCTAAATTCTTAAATCCTATTCCACTTTACAAACTGACCCATAGCATCCTCCTTGGACTCTCCCTGTGTCCTTTTTACCCACAACACACATTCCCACATATGCACCCCTTAGAGGAACTGATTTCCTGGAAAGACTACTTAGCCAAGTCCTGAGGTAATCTGTCTGACCTGGTGATTCTCTCAGTTAAGGGATGGATACTCATTTGTCCCTCCTCCCTCCCTTACCACTTTACACATCTCCCTGCTTCATTCTGCTCCAGGAAAACAGTATTTATCATTCTAGCTCCAGGATGAGATCAGACATTTCCACTAGACTTCAAAAATACACATCCATCTATCCATCCATCCATTCATCCATTTATATATATAAATAAATGTCAATGACAAAAAATTTTTTTTCTACAGCAATTGCTAAAAGTCTGGAAAAAAGATCACCTGGAGACCCAAACTCTAGTACTTAGGAATGTGTGAAAAATATCACACCAAGTTTAAAAATAACTCTTTAATCATATGCACATAAGGGGAATAAAGGGCAACACCAGGCTGACTCGGGAGGGGAGCAAGATATTCTCCCTTTGTCCCAGTGTCTGCTTGGCACAGTTCTGAGATCACACAAACAAGTGGGAGTGGGTTGGGAAATAGAATAAGTGAGAGGACTGAAGAGACAAAGGCAAGGGGGGGAGAGGCAAGGGCTTGCAGTAGTCTCAATCAGTGGACTCTAACACAGATTCACTCAGCGCAAGGTCCCAGTAGTGTTCAGCCCCATGCTTTTTGAAATGCTCACGAGCCATGTTCTCTGTAGGACACTGTTTAAACTTCATCTCTCCAAAGCTCCGGTCTTTGGCTGTACCCTAGAAAAGAGATATGTAATAAAAACACTTCAATTTCTTATTTAAATCAGATATAATATTCTTTTATAAGACCTAGTAACATTTGTGAGACATGTGCCCAGCTGAACGTGATTTTATGGTAAAAAAAAAAAAAAAAAAATTGTGACCTCCATTTCCTTGGATATTTGTATGAGTTTTTATGAATTCATATGTATAAGGTTTTTAGATTTTTGAAATGAGGATGAGGAATTCTTTGCTCTGGTGCCTGGGTGAAACAACAAGTCAAGAAGAACTATGGAAGGTGGAATGAGATAAACTTATCTCCCACCAGGCCTTCAGGACTAAATTTGGGCCTTCAAAAAGGCCCAAAAAACTATTTATACAAGCAGAAGGCTTTGGGGCCCAGCAACAAAGAACAACTCCGGGTGGGGAACAGAAGAAGAGCAGGTACCAGCAGAGAATTACAACAGAAAAAGACAGTACTGGGTAGAACGGCATTCTTGCCAAAGGCACCAGCAGCAATGGCAGTCATAAAGCACTACCTCAAGAGGCTTTCAGGGAGTAGACTCCAATAAGGAGGCTGGAGCAGAACTTGGCTTATTTCTGAACATGAAAGACAATTCCTGAAAACTAAATTCCTACAACATTAATACTGGTTCTCTAAGAAGCCGCGACTTTTTCAGTAAGTACTCTTCAGAGATAAATAGAAGAAAATTGAAAAGAGATGAGGGGGCTGAGATATATGAAGATATGGGCGCAGTAGCTCATGCCTATAATCCCAGCACTCTGGGAGGCTGAGATGGGAGGATCAGTCAAGGCTAAGAGTTCGAGACAAGCCTAGGCAACATAGTGAGACTGCATTTCTAAAAATTAGCCAGGCACAGTGGTGTGGACCTGAGGTCTCAGATACTTGAGAAGCTGAGACTGGAGAATTGCTTGTCCCTAGGAGTTCAAGGCTGCAGTGAGCTATGACTGCACCGCTGCACGCCAGCCTGGGCAACAGAGCAAGACCCTGTCTCTAAAAAAAAAAAAAAAAAATTGGCCGGGCGCGGTGGCTCAAGCCTGTAATCCCAGCACTTGGGAGGCCGAGGCGGGTGGATCAAGATTCACAGGCATACGCCGCCATGCCCAACTAAAGTTTTGTTATTTTGGTAGAGCGGGGTTTTCTTCCATGGTTGCCTTCACGGCCTGGTCTCCAACCCCGACCTCAGGTGTTACACCTGCTTTGGCCTCAGGTGCTGGGATTACAGGCATGAGCCACTTGTGCCCAGCACCCACTTTTTTTTTTTTTTTTTGAGAGAGAGTTTGTGCCCTGTTGCCCAGACTGGAGTGCAATGGCGCAATCTCAGCTCACCGCAACCACTGCCTCTTGGGTCAAGCGATCTCCTGCCTCAACCTCCTGAGTAGCTTGGGATTACAGGCATGAGCCACCAT